TGGATTTTCTTTCTTTCTATATTTAAGATTGAGATCAGCTCTAAAAGCCTATGGCGTTCCCTGGGCCACTAACATACTACCACACCCCTTGTGGGATTGGCTGGACGCTAATAGCCCTTTTAATGGCCTGGTTTCTAAGGTCTATAACTCTGTTCTTTTAATGCAGTACTCTTATATTCCAGCTACTTACTCCTGGGAATGGGAAGGTTTTACTAAACCTGATTGGGATGTGGTATGGGCCAGATGTTTCATGGCATCCAAGAACCTGGCACACTGGATGATCCATTATAAATGTATTAATAGGGCTTATTTTACTCCTAGTGTATTGTATAAGATGAAGATTAGACCGGATCCATACTGTCATCTCTGTAATAAATCTGCAGTAGGTTCCTATTTTTACATGTTCTGGGAATGCCCAGTGGTGTTTTCTTTTTGGACATTTGTAAGTACTGTTCTACAACTGGATATACCTCAAGAACCTCTGGTTTTTCTACTGTTAGATGATTCCGCTCACAATTTGAACTCTCATCAAAAAAGGATTTTATTAGCAGCAGGTACTGCTGCTAAGAAGACTATTTTAAAACTATGGATAGAACCATCCACCCCTACATCCCTCACATGGTTATCCTATTTCAGAGACATTGTCTTGCTGGAAGGTACAACTGCCAAGCTCAGCAGCGCAAAGGACAAGACTATTCAGAGCTGGGCAATAATTGCAGAGATGCTGTTAGATAAGTTAAGATGTTGACTTTATAACTGTGTTGACCTAACTATTTATTATTGTCTCTCCTCTATTCTCCCCCTTTTTTTTTTTGTTTTCCCCCTTTTCTTATATATATATATATATATATATATATGGACAGTTATCATGGCATCTGTTTGTATATAGTTCAATGGAGTTTTGATTTATTTCCTTAATGTGGGAATCCAAACTCTAAAAAAAATAAAAATTTGATCACAAAAAAAAGGTGTTTATTATGCCATAGAAAAGAGAGTATACTCTCAGTAAATCTGATACAAGAGCAATTCAAGTAACAGACTAACCTAAAATCATGGATACATCACTTCATATACTGCAGAATTCTAGCACATGAGTGGTTATGGAGAAAAGGAGGGCATCAATCTAACAAACAAGGAGTAAAGACAGGGTTACATGAAACTTAAAACTGACTGAACCTGCTATCTTCTGTGGTGGCAAGAAATCAGAAACTAAAACCTTGAAGGTGTGATAAAAGGAAAACACTGCATCCCATACAGGGTCACTGCAACATCAAAAATGTAATACAAAAGACTAATGACTCATGAATTAATTGTGTGTGCAGCTGATCAGCAAGTACAAACTGAAATCAAAACTGAAATCAAAATGTAAAAACATAATACAGATATTGAATAATACTTCAGAAAAACTTAATAAAACTTCACCTATATTCAGTTGCCAGATTTTGAGAGGTTTTGAGAATGAGGAGATAATGGCATAGGAATTAAGCAAAAAGTGCGATTTACCTGTTTTCAATAGCCTCAAAAAAAAAATGCCAAGCAATCAGGGCAATTACTAGAAATTCCTACAGTAAAAATTCTTCATATTGAGTATTTTGGTAGTACATCACACCTATTTTAATATGTAAATGTCAGATTTTTGAGGCGTTTTAAAATGAGATGTGAAATGGCATTCTAAATGTGCAAATTTTTCCTTTTTTATGCACAGCGTTCACTGAATTTTAGCAAGTAATTTTAGTGAGCTTCATGGCGCCATCTACAGGCGCGAGATTGTAAGTTACGGATCTTTTAATGTGGAACTTCTAATGAGGAATTTAAGCAGCTGAGACCTAACTGAATCTTAAAATCGATTATATTTTTAAACAAATTTGCTTGACAGAGAAGATAATAAAACTGTACCTGAGACGTAGATTTAAAAATGAATTTGTCCATTAAAATAGAGAAAGTAAAAAATTGTAACCATTTATTAAATGATACATTAGTTTAAAATGTCAATTCTAATTGCAATTAAACTTTTTAAAACATAAAACATTTCATACGAAACATTTTCTTAAAAAAAAAACAAAAAAACAGTGCAAAACTAAAACAATAACTTGTGTCCTAGATTCAAGTCGAGTTTGCCAGCCTTTGACATTGTGTCAAGAGGGTTTATGTCAACATTCTAAATAATGGATGAGATTAAAATTGAGGCCCATCACAATAGTTATGCATTGTAGGGTCATTTTTCTTTTTAAGTACAAGTATTGCATTTGGTCATTACTCATATACACTCACCATCCACTTTAATAGGATCACCTGTACACCTACTCATTTATGCAGTTATCCAATCAGCCGATCATGTGCATGTGTCAAGAGCTTCAGTTAATGTTCATATCAAACATCAGAATGGGGAAAAAGTGTGATATTTATGACTTTAACTGTGACATGGTTGTTGGTGCCAGATGGGCTGGTTTGAGTATTTCAGAACCTACTGATCTCCTGGGAGACTCTAGATCAGTGGTTCCCAACCTGGTGTCCGTGCCCCCCTGAGGGGGAGTCAGAGTTCACAGGAGGGTCGTGGGAGCTGATATGATTTGAGGTCAAATATAGATGCATAAAATGTTCCATTAATAGTTTTATATAAAAATATTTTTGTATGTTTTTAAAAAATCATGTCAAAAAACAATTATCTCATATAAAATATTATTAACAATTCTCTTTTACACTAGCCAATTGCGTTCACGTTCCAAGCTGGAAGGACTGTCATTGGCTGTTGTCGGTTCAGATAACGTGCGTGTCAACACAATATCAAAATCAAATGGAAAAATGTCAGATAAATGAAAATGCGGTGATTCTTCATCAGATGTGAAGAAAAAGTTTAGACACTATGACAAAACCTACTTAAATTTTGGTTTTATTGAAGGTCAAGACAAGTCTCGGCCAGAATATGTGTTCTGTGGTGAAAAATTGGCAAATGACAGCATGAAACCAAGCAAATTGAAAAGACACCAGGAAACGAAGCATCCAGAGACAATCGGTAAAGATCAGGAATTCTTCGAGAGAAAAAAAAGATGGCTCTGTCAAAAAGACCGACAGACATCAGAAAGGTATTCGAAAGAGCAGGCACTAATTTACAGAAGGCAACTAAAGCTTCCTTTGAGTGTTCGCTATTGATTGCCAAGGCAAAAAAGCTGCATAATATTGGAGAGGAGCTAATCAAACCCGCCTGCATTAAAGTATTCTGTACCTATAATAGCCTGAAAATAGAAAGAAGAAAATGTTCTGTGTATTCATTCAAATTATTTATTAACTATTTATTTATATTAACTATATATGTGTACATGTGTGAGTAGCATTAATGTGTGTGTATATGTGTGTGTATATATATATATATATATATATATATATATATACATATATATATATATATATACATATATACATATATACATATATACATATACACACATACACATATGAGAGTTGGGGTCTCAGATTGTCATATATACACTATATTACCAAACGTATTCGGTCACCTGCCTTGACTCACATATGAACTTAAGTGCCATCCCATTCCTAACCCATAGGGTTCAATATGATGTCGGTCCACCTTTTGCAGCTATTACAGCTTCAACTCTTCTGGGAAGGCTGTCCACAAGGTTGAGGAGTGTGTTTATAGGGATTTTTGACCATTCTTCCAAAAGCGCATTGGTGAGGTCACACACTTATGTTGGTCAAGAAGGCCTGGCTCTCAGTCTCCGCTCTAATTCATCCCAAAGGTGTTCTATTGGGTTCAGGTCAGGACTCTGTGCAGGCCAGTCAAGTTCATCCACACCAGACTCTGTCATCCATGTCTTTATGGACCTTGCTTTGTGCACTGGTGCACAGTCATGTTGGAAGAGGAAGGGGCCCGCTCCAAACTGTTC